GGTTCAGTGTGCGGGTTGTGGGGGGGGGGGGGGGGGGTCACATTGCCGCTTGTTTCTACATAAAAGAAAACAAGACGAACACGTCTCTTCTCTCTGCTCCAACCCACACGGCACCTCGTACAAGTAGGTACATTCGTCGTGTGCACGGGGGGCCGGATAAAGGCGGTGTAAAAAAGGCGGTACCCGGTAAAGGCCGCCGGATCGGGCCCTTTATATGGCGGTAGCTATGCATATCTGTCTCAAAACCTGATATAAGGCGGTGATCATCTTCGCATCAGTATTTGTACGCCCTCTCTATGAAGCAACTACTGTTCCTCTCTGGCACAAGGCAACTGGGTGAGTGAACAATACAACGCCCGGCTTGGGCTTGAACTGAAAACAAGAAATATCACGTGGCGCGTCTACACCAGTGCAAAAATCGGACTTGAGAGAGTTCTTGTGTGCATAGTGGGATAGAAAGATGGTTTGAGCTGCTGTCTTGCATACAGCAAGACGTGGGGAAGTATAGTGCCTAACCCGTACCCAAGGGCCATGCGTCATGGGCGCATAATACAAACGACCCACCGGTGCGTGAACACCCTCTATCAATCAACGACGCGCCGTGAGGTGATCAACACTACGTTCGCTCCTAACCTCTTTCTTCATGTGCCCTGAATGCGGCGGTCACCGCCCTAATGAGGCAATCTCAAACCCTGAATATCGCGGTACATCGCCTTATTCGTGCATTAGGCGGATGCCCGATATGCGGCGGCTATGTTCACCACGCACAACCACCGCCTTGTGTCGGGCCCCCCACTGTACAACGGGATGGTTGACTCCTTTTCTCGCGGGATAAACACGAAGGCAAGTAGACACAGCAACGCAGGCGAAGAGTTGGAGAAAAAAGCATCATAACGCCGCCGGTGCGGCCGTCCTCCTGCGTGACTCCGGCTGATGCGCCCATAACCTACATCGAGAGGCGTGCTAGGACTGCCGTCAAACACAGAATGAAATTATAAAAGGGACGACACACACACAAAAATTATTTTATTCTTCTGTTATTGCTACGGTATCCGTCTTTAATCCGGAGAGTAGCATAGCCTCGCCCATGACACCACCTCACGGGGTTCCAGATCATGGCAATGGCCTTTTGAATCATTTTGTGTAATCTCACTGGGACTGACGTCTTTTCATTGGCCAGCCGGTTAGCGCAGTCGAGGCTAACAATAAAACACGCCCAGCCTCCTTGCGAGGTACCCCGCCAGGGGGAGCCCGATGACCGGAAAAATCGTGTTCGCGGTATTTGTTCATTTATCCCCCTGCTGCACATAAGTCGGACGTCTTTTCATTGGTCAGGCCGGTCAGCGCGATCTCGATGCTACTTAAACGACCTGTTGCTGCTGTGTCACAGCAGTCTCATCACGTATGACCTTACAGCGTTCTGCTTCGTGTGTACATATGACGACGACGGGCGGTCTGCTGCTATCTCGGCCCAGATGGCGCCTTTGGGGGGCCGGAGGCAGGGAAGGGGGGTGTCCCCATGACGGTTCCCGTGGAAGACCCCTCGGAGGCGGACCTACCCTTCTCGGAGCGAATCAAGCAGGCAAAACTTGGTGCTTGTTTTTTTTTTGGTAGAGATTTTTCTTCTTATGAAAATATGAAAGTGCGAAAAAATGCATACAATCACAGAAATAGTGTGTCCCTGTTTGGAGCTTTTGTCGTTGTTGCCGGCGTCGTGCTGGGCATCATCATCGCTACCGCCCACAACAACACTCCACTCGCTCGTTCGTCTGTGCTTGTGTCTTGCAGTTTTTCATGGCGTGTGAAGTTTCGACCCTGTGGCCTTGATCCGGGGCCCGCGGTTCTCCCGCTACGCATGCGTGTTTTTTTTTTTAAGTTCGGAGCGACAAAGGAATGTTTTAGCGAAATTCTTGACCTCGATCGTACCAAAGTCATCCCGCGTTTCATTGCATATATGTATCATGGTGTTGGAGGCATCTGGAGAAGTTTTCCAGATTGTATGCATACTCCGGGGCACTTGAACCCGTACCCCACCGAACGGGAAAAACACCAATCTCGGCCCTGCAAGGTTTCGGGCGTGTGATTTAGAACCACCCCGCCGGGCGGATGCGACAGCGGCTGCCGTGCTACAATCGTTTCTTCTTCTCCGTTTGTCAAGGCAATCGCTTGCTTGATGGTCGCGGGTGTGTAGCATTCGATTGTTCATGGGTGCCCAGCCTCTGAACGTGAGCTAGAAAACGATGTCTCGCCCCCCCCTTGCGTTTTTTTTTTGTGAAGGTGTTTTGGCAGTTTTTGCCACTTGGCGTCGTCGCCTACGGCGGGCCCACTGCCCACATCGCCCTGCTGCACGAACGGTTCGTGGACAAGTCCAAGTGGCTCAGCGAGGAGCAGTTCGTGGAGCTCATGGCGGTGGGGCAAGGGCTGCCCGGTCCCACTTCCACGCAGGTGCACCCTGCGTGTCGCTGTCGCTTTTGCTGCTGTTGCTGACACTGTTGTTGTTGTTGTTGTTGTTGTTGTTGTTGTTGTTGTTGTTGTTGCTGTTGCTGTTGGCGTTACTGCTGTTGGTGTGTTGCTGTTGCTGTTGGTGGCAGTGGTGTAATTGTTGTTGGTGGTGGTGCTGTTGCGTTGGTTGGTGCTGTTGGCGGTGGTACTTTTGGTATCAAACAAGAAGACCCCTCTGAGCTTTGACCGCTGCGCTCACTCTCCACACGCATGTCCACCAGTGAGAGCCGGCCTTGGTCGCAACCCCGCGTTCTTGCGGCCAGTTTTTCGTTTTTTGTCGAAGAACTCCGACGCAAGCACATGGTATGCGTCCATTGTGGTAATAGCTCTTTTTGTTGAGCGCGTTTCTTGGTGAGCGGGCGCGGTGCTCTTGGCGTGAACCAGAACCAGGCTCTCGCTCTCATTTGGAGCGAAGACATGTATGTCATTGACAGAGTCGTCCGAAGCTGAAGAAAATCGAGCACAAAACATGGATGCAGATAAGGAACAGGCGGTAGCATGGTTGTTCGCGTTTGCTTCTCGGTTCCGCCTTCGTTATCCGAAGTCTAGGAAAGTACAACTGCTGTTGTCCTAGAGTTAATGCTGTACTGCTGCTGCTGCCGCCTGGCTCGTCACACTTTCAGTGGTGAAAGTCGATAGGGAACGCCTATGCTAGGCAAGAATCTTGCATGCCCTAAACGATCCGCCACTGCCTAATTCACCACCTTCTGCATGCTTGTCCGGCTTCCACAACACAACCCCCTCGCATGTACCGCTGTACGCGCTCGCTATTCCGCCGCCTTCTGCCTGTTTCCGCTGGACCGCTCGATATCGGTGCGCGCGGGAAATCGCCCCCCCCCCCTCCCCCCTCCCCCGGACAACACTAACACCAACCTCAACCAGATGGTGGTTTCGATGGGAGCGTACCGAGCGGGCATTCCAGGAGGTTTGCTGTCCTTTGCGCTTTGGAACATTCCGAGCTTCATCGTGCTTACGCTTGCCGGGTTGGGCGTGAAGGAGCTGCTGGGCGACGACGACCCTGATTGGCTGTCTGGGCTGGGTCCCGCCGCCATCTCCCTCGTCTTCGTGGCGGCGTACAAGGTGCGGCGGAATAGAGTACGCTCGGAGGGGAGGGGCTGTTGTAAAATTGAAGCATGGCGTGGTCGTTTTTGATTATAGACCTCGCATCCCGAAAGAGGGGAGGGGGTGCGGTTGTAGTCAAGCAGGCCGCGGTCGTTTTTGGCTGTAGACTTCGCATCCATCAACAGAGCAAAGGGGTGTTGTCTGAGTCAAGCATGCCGTAGTCTTGTTGACGATAGACCTCGCATCAGCAAAGAGGGGAGGGTGTGTGTTTGGGGTGCTCGGCAGAGTGTACTGTCTACAGGACCTCCGGGGGATACGCGGATGATATGTATTGATGGGCATGCTACATGGCGATGGTGTGGCCTGCCGCATGCCTCTCACTCTCTATAGCAATAAGGTCTTGAGTCAACCTTCTTTCTCTTTCGGCCTCTGACGAATCTACCACACCCAAACACAATATGTCATAGTCAAGCATGCCGTAGTCGTTTTGACGATAGACCTAGCATCTCCAAAGCAGCAAGCTAAATTAGGGTAGATTTTCACCTGTCGGTCCGAGACTCGCACACCAACGCGAGCGCGAAGCACCGCACGTGTCTTCGCAAGTAAAGACTGCTACACTCCTCTAACAAGCTTCCGACCGACAACACATCATGCTTGTTGTCCTTGCTTGGAAAAACGACACAACAGGGTATACCCTGGTCGAAAAGCGACACACCTGGGTACACAGTCATTAACAGCAGTAAATGCACTCATATCATTGGTCAGCGCCCATTTTCACCCCGGTGCGTCCGAAAAGGCGCAGGGTATACCCTGCCGTGACTACTTTTCTCAGCAACTGTACCCTGTTTTCGGAAATGTACCCTGACCTGACGGGAAAAGAGACCCTTTCATCAATCATTTCCCCCGCAGGAATCTTCCTAACTCCTTTTCCCCTCCAACCATGGGATACCAAACGGCGAATCTTCCCGCCGAATAACAACCATGGCAACGGGGCAGGAATCAGTTTCCGCCCCTGCGAAACAACACCAACCATCAACTCTTCCGCTCGAAATCAACAATGGCCGGGCAACACCCCAGCACAATTGTTCCGTTTGGAAACATGCACACACACGTACAATAAGTACCCCGTGGACTACTGCTTGCTGCAGTCTATGTGCGAGATGCACGGGTCACGGTATGAAAGCGGACCGATTCAGCATGGTTGACATGCATATGCATGTGTGCGTGCGTGTGTTGTCTGTTGTGTCTCAATTGCGATGTGTTTCTTGCTTGAACTACTGCTGTAGCAGCAGCGGTCACGCTTACCAGCCAACCAAGCCAGACTAATCAATCAATGTAGTAAGAAGACGTCAGGATTCAGCGGGATGAGCCGATGAAATACAACGCTAGCACTCTTTCTTCTTTCTACCGACAGGGAGGGTGGTTGAGTTGGACGACACTGCAGTGTCCTGCTGCTAGAGTAAGGATAAGACTCGTGTGTGCATGATTGATGTCAAGGGCATGCCTGTGTGTGCTGGTCCTGCCTCTCCCCTCCACCCTCTCTGCGGGCGCGAGCTCGCCGCCAGCACAGCGCCACACATTGGCACATGCATATGCATGTCAACCATGCTGAATCGGTCCGCTTTCATACCGTGACCCGTGCATCTCGCACATAGACTGCAGCAAGCAGTAGTCCACGGGGTACTTATTGTACGTGTGTGTGCATGTTTCCAAACGGAACAATTGTGCTGGGGTGTTGCCCGGCCATTGTTGATTTCGAGCGGAAGAGTTGATGGTTGGTGTTGTTTCGCAGAGGCGGAAACTGATTCCTGCCCCGTTGCCATGGTTGTTATTCGGCGGGAAGATTCGCCGTTTGGTATCCCATGGTTGGAGGGGAAAAGGAGTTAGGAAGATTCCTGCGGGGGAAATGATTGATGAAAGGGTCTCTTTTCCCGTCAGGTCAGGGTACATTTCCGAAAACAGGGTACAGTTGCTGAGAAAAGTAGTCACGGCAGGGTATACCCTGCGCCTTTTCGGACGCACCGGGGTGAAAATGGGCGCTGACCAATGATATGAGTGCATTTACTGCTGTTAATGACTGTGTACCCAGGTGTGTCGCTTTTCGACCAGGGTATACCCTGTTGTGTCGTTTTCCCTCCTTGCTTTCTTGGCACTCAAGCATACCGGGCGTCTGTTGACGTGGCTTGTTCGAAGAGATCGAAAGTTGTCGCAAAATGTAACGGGTCTGTGTTCGTGGGTGCCTGACTATTTCCAAACCACGCAGTGCAAGCGCCGCCTGTTCGCATTAGATAAGATTCCCCTTGCCGCCCAACACGGGTTCTGTCTGGTCAACAACCGATAGTAGTTGCACCTAGAAGACCGTCGGGCAAATAAGTCTTCCGGTCGTCCAGGTCTCTCAGAGGGCCGCACGTTTTAAGGTGTCGTTGCCAACAACCCCAGTGGCGACGAGAAGGAGGGGGCGGGAGGCTTGTCGTGGGCAATCTCTCGCGTGCAAGGTTTGGTTGTGTTTTGTGAAAAAGAAGCGTACGTGCTTGGAAGGATTTGACTCATCATCCATTGTTGTGCCAACCTACGTAGAGTTGCTCTATTAATACCAGGTTTTCCTTCTTTTTTTGCCTGCCACGATGGCTCTTCTTGCGCCGAAGCCCCTCGGCGCTTGCTGTACACCCCATGGAAATGTTCGGTTGAATTTGCACTCCAGTACTAAGTAATCGCCCGCCCCACCCCCCATGCGGTCCCCCCCTCCCCCCCTCCCCGACATGGAAATGCCTCGCTTTTTTTGCAGCTAGGGAAAAAGGTGAACAAGTCGCCGCTCAAGTTTTCGCTGTCGCTGGTGTCGGCCTGCGTGACGTTGCTCATCAACGGGGACGAGGACATCAACCCGAACGTGTCCGCGTGGGTGTTTCCGCTGATGCTCGTCTGCGGGGGGCTGGTGATGCTGGCGGACTCCAAGGCTCGGCCGCAGAACTACACCGTGGCTGCGTCT